CACAGGCCAGGACGCCGCATAGGCCGATACGCTGCAGGCCAGGCCAGGTAAGCAGAACAGACAGTCCTGGGCGCCTCACAGGCCAGGACGCCGCCGCACTGGCCGCTGGGTCGCGCACCCAGCGAGGCTCCCGTGCCCCGCGGGTCAGGCCGAGTTCTAACTCATTATCTCAAGGTCGCGGCCGCGGACACACGCTCATCCCGCCCCGTCCCGCACGCCATCTCCCGACCGACCCAGCCTCTTTGCCTTTTGACTGTCTATCTGTCTGTCTGTCTGTCTGCCAGCCCGTCTCGGTGCAGCTCAGACTAGGTTCCATGCCCGCGTGTCTTTTCGTCACAACGGCCCAGGAGCCCCCCCGCACACGATGCCGCCGCAGACGCCCGCCGCCGCCACCGAGAAGGCCCTGTCCTGGCTGAGCCCCGACTTCATGTCGGCGGTGGTGGGCGCCCCGGTGCGCCAGGTCGACGCCAACGCCCTCGGTTCGGGGGACAACTTCGCCAGCGCCATGGTCCGCGTCAGGGTGACGACCGACGGCGGCGAGGACAAGCGCCTCATCGTCAAGGTGAGCAGGCCGGACGCGGACGTGTGGCGTCCTCCGAGTGGGCGACCGTACCGACGGCTTCCTCCGTGCCGCAGCAACTGCCGACGGCCCGCGTGGAGGACTTCTTCCCCATCGAGAAGGCCTTCAACCAGGAGGGCCACGTGTACGCCGACATCCTGCCGCGCATGCAGGGGCTGCTGGACGCCATCGGCAAGGGCAGCCCGCCGCTGGCGCCCAGGATGCTGCACCGAGCGGTCGACCCCGACCCACTGCTCATCTTCGAGGACGTCTCCGTGGAGGTACAAGGATGCCGAGTGCGAGAGACGCAAATTTTAAAGGCTAGCTTTACAATTCACAGATCTAACATGGTCAAAAAGTAAAGTTTTCAACTGTTGTTCGCTATTTCTTTTGCCACAAGTTGTTACTGAACCACCTGTACTTGACTCCAAACCCACAGGGCTTCCGCATGGCGCCCCGAGACCAGGGCCTCGACGAGGATCACCTGCGTCTGGTGCTGCGCAGCCTGGCGCGCTGGCACGCGGCCGGCGCCGTGGTGCTGGACGAGCGGCCCGAGCTGTTCGAGGACACGCTGCGCATGGTGTGCGCGGAGCACGCCCTCCTCATCGACGGCATGATGGTCAGTATACCCTTGCCCAACGTCCGTGCCGCCCGAGCCCGAGGGGTCCTAACCAATGTAGTGCACCCCCCAAAAAAACAATTCAGGAAAAAAATAAGAAAAAATATCAAGGCAAAATAAATAAAAGTTAAGCA